AAAAATTTTCACAAAACATAGCTGACAAAGACCTTATCTCCAAAATATTTATCTCCTATCAATATTAAAAACTGAAATGCCCATTTTTAAAAATAAGCAAAAGCTTAAACAGACACTTCAGAGAGAAAGATATATCAATGGCCAGTAAGCACATAAAAAAGTGCTCAATGTCATTAGTTGTTAGGGAAATATATATTAAAACTGCATTTAGGGGATCCCTGGGTGGCGCAGCGGTTTGGCGCCTGCCTTTGGCCCAGGGCGTGATCCTGGAGACCCGGGATCGAGTCCCGCGTCGGGCTCCCGGTGCATGGAGCCTGCTTCTCCCTCTGCCTGTGTCTCTGCCTCTCTCTCTCTCTCTCCCTCTGTGTGACTATCATAAATAAATAAAAAAATTAAAAAAAAATAAACTGCATTTAGATACCACTGTACCCAATAGCATGGCTGAAATTGTAGTCTGAAAACACCAAATCTTGGTGAAGATGTAGAACAACCAGAATTCTCACACATTTTCAGTGGGATTGTGTTAAAACCTTTTTGGGTTATACTTGGTTTTACAGTTTCTTACACTGTTAAACATAAATTTATATAAACATCCCTTTATTCCCATCAATTCTTCACCTAGATATTCTTCCAAGATAACTGAAAACATATGTCTATACCAAAAATATTGTAACAATAATGTCAGTGGTTTTATTCATCATGGCCCAAACTAGAAACAACTCAAGTGTCCATGATCAGGACACTGGTAAACAAATTGTGGTATATCCATATAATGGAATTACTATTCAGCAATAGAAAGACATGAACTTTTTATATACTCCACAATATGAATAAAACTCAGAGATATTATGCAAAATATAACCCCACACGTACTCCATTTACAAGAATTTCTAGGAGAAGCAAAACTAAGGCACAAAATATCGACATAATTTTAAAAAATAATGCAGAGGGTAATGACAATGAGGATGATGATTCTATTGATTGTGATATTGAGTAGCTACTAAATTCAGGCACAGCCAACAATGACAGAATGAAGTAGTTACTCTTATTAGCCCCTTTTTACAGAAGAAAGAATTGAGGCACATAAAGTTTAAGCTATTTCTCCAAGGCCACACAAGGGCAGAATCAGACTTACAAACCAGAACCTGCGCTCTTGAGCACAGACTGATCAGATCTTTCTTCTCAGTTTTAGGTATTTCTGGTGTTCTCAGATGTAGGGGTGAGAAGAGGAGAGAGAAGGAAAGAGAGCAAAAGAAGAAGGGGGGATCCCTAGGGGGGGATCCCTGGGTGGTGCAGTGGTTTGGTGCCTGCCTTTGGCCCTGGGCGCAATCCTGGAGACCCGGGATCGAGTCCCACATCGAGCTCCCGGTGCATGGAGCCTGCTTCTCTCTCTCTCTCTCTCTCTCTCTCTCTCTCTCTCTCATAAATAAATAAATAAATAAGTTTAAAAAAACTTTAAAAAAAAAAGAAGTGAGGGATAGAAACACCACAAAAATCCTTAGTCAACAAAGAGCAGAGCAGGCAACTATTATGAGTGTTTTTGCATCAAAGGTTATAAAAATTTCTAGGAAGTTGGTGATCTGCAAGCAAGTCAAAGATTCTTAAGCCAAAGTGGTTAAGTATTGTGATGAGGTCAGGAGATGCATTATAAATTTTAAAGCTGACAACTAAAACATTGAAGCTTCTAGAAGAAAATGTAGAAAAGTATATTCACAATTTTGAGTAGGAGAGATATCTTAGAGTAAGATACCTGAACAAGAACCAAAAAAATAAAGAAATTAGATTTCATCAAAATTCAAAACTTCTGTTCATCAAAAATCACCATAAGTAAGAAGGCAATTCATAAAGTAGGAAAAGATATTTGCAATATTCTTATCTGAACATGACTCAAGAATTGAATGTATAGAGAACTTTTAGAAATCAATAATAAAAGCCAAAAATAAAAAAAATAAAAAAATAAAAGCCAAAAGTATTAAAAATTAGCAAATACCAGAATAGGCTTTCTTCACAAAAGATAATTTCTAAATGGGCAAAAGACATAAGAAAAGATGCTTATATCATTATTTATTAGGGAAGCACATATTAAAACTACAGTGAGATGCCTTTATCACTCACAAGAATCAAACTTTTAAAGAGGAAGAACACCAACTCCTGACAAGAATATAGAGGATATCTTGTTGCTGTTGACAAGGTAAAATTACACAGTCATTCTGGAAAAGTGGCAATTTCTAATAAAGTTAAATATATACCTATCCCATGACCCAGCACAAAGTATATACTCAAAAAATGAATGCACATATATAAGGGCTTTGTTCACAATAGCCAAAACTAGAAATTATCCAAGTATCCATCAACAGCAGTATGGTCACACACAGAAATAACACTCATCAAGAACCCCATAATAATACATTCAATAGGATGGATGCATCTCAAAAACATTGTCACATGAAAAAGAAAAGCCTGACACACAAAAAAAGTATATTTACTTCTGTGAATTTCAAAATAGTCACCACTAACCTATGGAGATAGAAATCAGAACTGTTTATATTTAGTTATGTTTTTGTTGAACCATTTTAAAGTAAGTTATATCATGATCATTGAACCTCAGCATGCAAATGACTTCACTGATTCCAATATTCCTTAATTCAGTCTTTCAATCTACTATAGACTGGAGTCAGCAAACCTTTTTTGTAAAGTGCCTGATTGTAAATATTTTAGGCTTTGTAGGCATTTGGTCTGTTGAAACTCCTCAATTCTACCGTTGTAACACAAAAGCATGTACCAAATGTCAAGAAAGATGCCAAGTGCTGCAGTAACTCGGATTCGAACCGAGGTTGTTGCTGCCACAACACAGAGTATTAACCACTATTTGATCACGGCGCACCATAAACCTGCTGGCATTTGGTGTACCTCCTTTAATATTTTTGATGTGAAAATATCCACATTTAGATAAAGCTATACAAGATTTACATCAGCCCAGAAACGTTAGTACAGCCTTTTGTACTTTTGTACCCTCACCACCATTTGTGGCCCAACATCAGGGTCTGCGGTGGCTCCCTAGTACTCTGCAATCAAGAGAAAAGGAGGAAACCCGACCGTGCACCAAGCTGGGGTCAGATATTGGGTCTTCCAGAACCCTGGTCCGTGTCTGAGGATGCGCAGAACTACCCCAGAAGTTAAAGTACCGTCTGTGCTTCCATTTATGTAATGGTGTAGACATAACCGTTTTTCTTGTTGAGATATTTCAAATGTTAATGGGGTCTTCTTAAACACTATGACAGCGAGCATTTTGTAAGTTTGCATTCAACTGTTGTGGCCAAGATTGCGAATCTAAGGGATCCCTGGGTGGCGCAGCGGTTTGGCGCCTGCCTTTGGCCCAGGGCGCAATCCTGGAGACCCAGGATCAAATCCTATGTCGGGCTCCCGGTGCATGGAGCCTGCTTCTCCCTCTGCCTATGTCTCTGCCTCTCTCTGTGTGTGACTATCATAAATAAATTTAAAAAAAATTGCGAATCCAACACCGATGCAAGTACATGAGGGTTTGTTAATAAGCTCAAGCTTGGGTCCAAGTATACCCGACATAGCAGAGCAGGGACTTGGACCCTGAGGTGGGTTACAGCTGGGTTTTTATGGGCTGGTCTAGGGGTAAGGTGGGGTTTTGCAGTAAGGGTGGGGGTGTGAGAAACTCCAGTAAAGAGGTCTCACAAGCTCTTGCTTCCTTATTCCGATAAGGGCGTGCTTTGTGATTTTGCCTGTAGCCGGGGTAAGGTAGAGTTCAGTACCTGGTCACAGTGGCCTGAGATGGCTACCGAAGCTACAATGGCTGTACTTGTGCCAATGTTAAACTTGAATGGCCCTAATTTTCTCAGCCTCCACACAACAGGGTATTTTACAGTAAAATCTAACAAAACTTAAATTAGATGCCATTTTCTGGCTCTCCCACGCAATCTTTATACTAAGAGCACATATTGAAATCTAATTCACACTGAATACAACGCACAATCTTAAGCTTACAGCCCAATGAGTTTTGGACAATGCCAAATAACTGCTGTGACTTAAACCGTGGTCGTTTCTTCCACAAGACAGAATACTAACCACTGTACCACTAAAGCACACGGAACTTCACTGATAATTGGTGTGTGTCCTTTGATTTTTTTTTGTCCTTTGATATTTTTGATGGAAAAACAATCACAATATTTTCTTGCTCTGTTCTTGAACAACTGCAGGTTCTTGCATTTTTCCGTTTTTCAGGTCCTATCTGTCCCTACGCATTCTAATACAAAATAAAAAACAATTCTCATTTCTCAGGATCTGGCCAGTGCCTCTCCACAAGCCTTTTGGGAGGTCTCCTTGTCCTCAGCCTGCGTCCTGAAGGTTCCCTTTTGGCCCCGACTCTTTTTCTGCTCCCTCATACTGGCCCATCCACCCTACTGAAGATGGACGGCAGTTGAATTCCGTGCTTAGAGCTTAAACCACACAGATGGTATACCATAAGCCCCTCTGTTGCCCAGCCCATGGAATAGTGCAGGCTTTGAAATCAATTGACCAAAATAAGACCTTTTGAAAAGAACGTCCCCTTTAAAAAAAAGAATATATATATATATATATATATTCTAGCTGTTGTCTGTATGTTCAGACTCTCAAACGCATTAATTCAGCAAGTCACTCATTGAGTTCCCTGGGCATTCAGCTTTTCTTGGACCCCCTCCACTCAGGCTAGGGATTAGAGGAGTGGTGGGGTAGCAGCCCAGAGTGTCTGCGGAGGTTCTGGCTTCAGAGGTTGGTGAGGGGCAAGGCCAGCCGAGGCCATTTGGCTGCCCCAATTTCGGAATGACCCAATGCACTGGTTTCAAACGTGAGAAACAGTTTGATTTGTCACTCTAAGCTCTCAGGTTTTCCAAGGCTTTGGAGCCTGCCCAGACACACAGCAATGATTGGTAGCCGTTTGCGTTTAGTGAGGGAGCACTCTATTACCACAAAGAGAAAGCACACATTGTCTTGTCTCTGTGGCGCAATGGGTTAGCGTGTTTGGCTGTTAACCAAAAGGTTGGTGGTTTGAACCCACCCAGAGACGGAAGGAAGTGGGCCTTTTTACATCGATTTGGTTATCGCGAATTCACGCTGGCAGAGAGCAAGATACCTTGCTTGCCTCCCTTCAAGTGATTCAATAGCCTGGCCCTTCTCTGGCTCCTATGACCTCCCAGACCTGCCAGGACAGGGAAGTTCCTAGAAACAAGGGACAAAAGAGGCTTGAGGTAACCTGTTTCCAAGAGAGTTTGTCCTGGGAGGAAGGCTTGTTTCTTTGGGTTAGTAATAAACTTTATGTACCTCAATTCTTCAACTGTTGTAATAGCATCTTGCAGGGTGTGTCTGGATTTAGTAATTGCTCAATCAATAATGCTATCAGAATCATGAGCATTATCATCTTCTGCATTATTTTTGATGAAGGCATTTCTTTGTACCATTACTTAACCTTTTACATGTTATTTTTAAAAATAAGTTGATCTTAATGATAATCAGATAATCCTACAGTCATCAATCATCCTTGTACCCATATTTTTTGCCCCTTATATAAGAATTTCTATATGATAGAGTCCTGTTAATGCAATTGCTCTGTCATTGGTTACAATATGTTTTTTTGTTTGTTTGTTTGTTTTTTGTTTTTTGTTTTTTTTTTTTGGTTACAATATGTTTTTTAATGTTAATAATAAATCCTGATCCTGGAGATCCGGATCAAGTCCCACTTCGGGCTCCCACCTCTATGCCAATTATATTACAATTTAACTTGTATTTAAATTTTTTTCATGTTATTTTACTAGAACAACACTGTTCTGTTTCCTTTCTCTTTATTTTCCTTTCTCTGTTTCCTTTCTCTTTTATTTTTTCAATTACATCCTGCTTAAGACAGTTTATTCATTCCATTCATTTCAGTTATGGTAGTGACAAAATTTTAAAAATAATCTTTCATAAATAAAAAGTGAATCAAGGTAAGAAAACATTAAGTTATCAATGGTAAAGGAACATAGATATGGCCAAATATGAAAGTGCTATTTCATGATGTTTGAAAAACATGATTTGGGCTTATTTTTACAGGACATCCTTCCTCCCCTTTGTCATTCTAGGAGCACACCCTCTTGCCCTAAGTAAAAAAGGGAGATGCTCAGCTGTCCCTTCTACACTTTGAACACAAAAGGCACTGTCACTTTTTCCTGTGTGCCCCTCTAGGGAATTCCCTTGTTCAGACCAATAGGAAAAATCAAGGTGCCTAAACACTTCTGGTTGGCAGATATGATCTCATCATCCCTGGAGCCATAGAGCCTGTTTCTGGGGAAGATTAAATTGTTTTTGTTTGCTCTTTCTCCTCTTCTTTTTTATTGCATTAATTCAGTGTTTTGTAGGCCTTACTTTTAATCTTCTTTTTCTCTTCAAAATCATGGAACTTGAGCAAGGAGGGAATGCAAACCTTGGTGAAATAATAATCAGTACAAACAAACTGAAACAGAAATAAATATCCAAATTTCAACACTGGCATGATGGACAAGCCCAAGGGCTCTGCAGGCAAACTGCCTGGCTCTGAGTGTTGGCTCTCACCATCCCAGGGCTGGGGCCCTTGCAAAGTCAGCTCAGCCTTTCAGTGTGCAGGTGTTCTCATTTATTTCAGAGTTGTTATGTGGACTAGATGAATTATATACTATACAGCACTGGGGGACTTTGTGCTAGTCACAGTGAGGCACTGAGAAAGCTGTTAGTAGCATTATAATTAAGACTTTTGTTTCCATTTCTAACTGCACTACTGCTGGCTTTGAGCATTCCCCAGAATAAATGAGGAGTGTTAAATGGTTTGGTTGGCCTCTTCTCCTCCGTATTAGTGACAAGCACCAGGAAAACTTGTTACTTGATAATTTTAATGATGATTTAACTGACAGTGGAGATAGTATAGCAGGGAACTGGATCCAACTTCATGAAATCCTTGGATCTAGGACAGGCGTGATAATTGTTCAGCTCATGGTAGACACTCTTTTACACATATTTCTAGGAAGAGCCTTTAATATCTAGTCAGACTTAACCCAAATACTGTAAGAAAAGTCCAAGTGTGTACCAGTAATCTATTTTGTTGTTTTTAAGACATCAAAGTAGAAATATTTAATTTACCTAGAATTTGTAGATTTCCTCTTTCAGTGATGATAGAGTATCTGTAGCAAACCAGCACACACACTGAAAAAAAGTAGATAAAAATCTGGTTTAAAGGAATTGTTTGAAGACTTTGGAAGGCTACCAGTGCAGCTAGGACAGAGCCAGAGAGAGGTTCATTGGAATGAAACTAATTTTCTGCCTTTTCCCCTCAGGGCATCAGCCTGGACAGTAACCAGAGACTGAGAAGTTGAGGAGAAGGCAGCTAGCTACTAAGAATCAGAAAAAATAGCAACACTTTAAATAATTCAAGGGGGGAAGTATAGATGGGGGGCTGGGGAGACTTGAGGAGCCAAGGTCCTAGAGTGCACTGTGATATGAGCTGGATGATTGTGGTAAAGGTTTTGCCTTCATTAACTCTAAAAATAAAACTGCCAGTTATTTCACCAACAAATGATGAAGGTTGAGAATAGCAGAAAATTGCAGTCTACAAGCAAGCTATAACAAAACCATTGACACCACCACCACCACCCACTCCCTCCACCCCACCCCACCCCTACCCCCCACAACAAAGGAGCAGAAGAGTCTTTTATGAAGTAAAAGGGGAAAGAAATTGGGTGGCAGAAGGAAGCCTATCTTCCTCCAGTTGGGATAGTAAAGTAATATATACTCTTGTGAGATCTTCCCCTTCCTGTTGGGTCTGCAATGTAGTTGGGTGTGACATCTCCCCCTGAAGAATCTCTCCACTCTGGGAGGTTGAAACTTGAAACTTCCAGTTTCTAATTTTCACACCCTTGGAGCATTTGCAAATTCAGCTGTATGCAGGGAAGAAGCTAGGAAGACAACCAGAGTATGGCTGAAAGAGCAGTTTCAGTGGTACCCTGGTGCAGAGGAGAGAGAAATAGAGGTAGAAGTTCAGGACCCTCCAAAGAGAGGGTACCTCTCAGACAGCAGCCCTAAAGATCTACCACCTAGGAATGTAGGCAAAACCAGCTATAGACTGACACTTACAATCAATACAAACAAACCAAAACAGCTTAATCGTGAGATGGATTGAGGTGATCTGCTCCTCTATTATCTCTCCCAAGAGATAACATTATCCAAACCCCCCATAGTTTTTCACACATCAGGCCTGTCATTCAGTCACATTTTCCAGGAGTATAAAGAAATAAGAGCAAGAGAGGGAAACAAACAAACAAACAAAAAAAGGCAAACAATATAAACTGACTTATAACATGATTGAAGTATTGGACTTATCACATAGGAACACTAAAATATTTGTTTTAGGTGTTCAAGGACATAGACGACAAGATGAAAACTTACACTGGAGATTAGGAATCTATTGAAAACTCAAATGGAAATCCTAGAACAGAAATAAGTGATAACTAACTTTAAAAAGTAACATAGAGTTTTTTAACAGCAGTTTAGACCTAGCTGAAAAGGAATTAGTTATTTAAATATAAGAAGTATAAAAAAATATAAGAAGTAGAAAATATCTAGTTAAAGTTGTATGAAGAGCTTTATAAAAGGAAGGGAACTGGGATCCCTGGGTGGCGCAGCGGTTTGGCGCCTGCCTTTGGCCCAGGGTGTGATCCTGGAGACCCTGGATCGAATCCCGCGTCCGGCTCCTGATACATGGAGCCTGCTTCTCCCTCTGCCTCTCTCTCTCTCTGACTATCATAAATAAATAAAAATTAAAAAAAAAAGAAAGGAAGGGAACTTCAGGGAGAGGACTTTTTAAAAAGTATATCTCGTGTGTTTTGGTTTTTATTTTTAGTTTTCTTTTACATTTTTTAAAATTTAAATTCAATTTGCCAACATATAGTATAACATCTAGGGCTTATCCCATCAATATGTCATGTTTTTAAAAAAATTTTTAATTAATTATTTATTTATGATAGTCACAGAGAGAGAGAGAGAGAGAGGCAGAGACACAGGCAGAGGGAGAAGCAGGCTCCATGCAGGGAGCCCAATGTGGGACACTATCCCAGGATCAAGGGATCACACTGAGCCAAAGGCAAGACACTCAACCACTGAGCCACCCAGGCGTCCCTCAATCTACATTTAATTCCTGATAAAATATCTTTCAAAGTGAAGATGAAATAAAGGCTCTTCATAGATAAGCAGAATATATTCAGAAAAGGAAATACACAAGGTATTTCTTCAGGCAGAAGTGATCCCAAGGGAAACATGGAAATAGAAGGAGGAATGAAGAGCAATGGATATGTTAACTACGTGAGCAAATCAAATAAACATTACTGTCTAAAGCAAAAACAATGATATCTGTGTGATTTAAAAATATTTTGAAGTAAAACGAATGACAAAAAAACTCAAAAGGCAGGACGGTAAATGGAATGATTATCAGTAAAGTCCTAGTGTTGCCAAGTGAACTGGGGAGACCCCGGGGCCCATCCCAAAGGTGTCGCTGAAAGTTCTTGGTCTTGGCTCAAGAAAGCATTCAAGGATAGACATGCAACACAGCGGATGAGTAACACAAGCAGGAAAGTTTATTAAAGTGAAAAATACACTCTCCAGATAGAGCAAGTAAGCTGGAGAGAGAGGAAGGAGAAAGAGGGAGAGGGCACCGCCTATGCCCCCTGGGGGTTGGGTTTCTATCTTTTATTGACAGTAGTTTACTAATGGATGGAATATGCATTACTTGAGGCGGGGATTTGATTTCTTAGAAGCAGGATTTCTCACCTTTTTGTCCTTATTTGGTCAGGGATTTCCTGTCATGGCACCCACCATCTTGGACCTGTCTGGTTTGATCCAGCTTCTGTGGCTTGCTGCCAGGACTGGCCTCTGACTTTCCTGATAGCTGCCCATCACTTATTCTTTGCTAGCTTCCCAGTATCCTGTTAGAACCAAACTAACTGGCTACTCTAACACTAACATAGTCTAGAAAGTATGAAAGTTCTAATTTATACTGGAGTCTTTTGTTTG